GCTGACGTCAGTGTAGAAAGTATATATTAACTATCTAGTTATGACAGCTGTATAATGCTAGTTGATTCTACCCAATGTATGTATTACATATTTTCACTGTCTGTGGATCCTGGCAAAATTCTTACATTGATGGAATGGTGTTTAATTTAAATCATACCATGTATGTGCAAAGTCTTTTTAAATAGTTTGTATTGTAGCCTTCAGTTTTGACATCTAAACTGCTTTATGTATAATTATGACTACTTTCTTTGTACATAATAGTGTTAACAAACTGGAGCTGGAATGATTTGACACTATTAAAAATATTAATACAATTGTGTATTGCCATTTCAGAATATGAAATTGGATAGAGTGAGTAAAACATTGAGGGATTTGAGTTAGGCAAAAGGGATTAAGCTGGCTGATTGATACTTACAAGATAGAAGCTGTAATGTGGTGTAGCTAAAATTAGTGATGCAGTTTAAACTACCAGATAATCACCTCAGACAGATGGCTTCCATTGTGACCAGTTATAGATCCAATACTAAAATGCTAATTTGATTATTTTGGATATATCTTCATATGAGTGGAAAGTGACATTTAATTCGGAAAAGTGTGGAGTTATACACGTGGGCAGGACAAATACTCAAAACACCCCTTCAAGGAAAGCACTGAGGAAGATGGAGAAAAAAGGAAACATGCATTCTAGTGCATACAAACCACCGTGTCCTTTTCAAATCTTTCTCTTCTCACCTTAAAAATATGCCCTCTAGTTTTGAACTCCCCCACCCGAGCTAAAAGACCTTGGGTATTCACCTTATCAGTGTCCCACATGATTTTATAAACCTCTATGAGGACACCCCTCAACCTCCAATGCTCCAGTGAAAGTCCCAGCCTATCCTTTTACCTCACACCGCCCAGTCCCGGCAACATCCTGGTACATCTTTTCTGAACCCTCCCCAATTTAATAATACCCTCCTATAGCAGGGTGACCAGAACGGAACACAGTACTCATAGAACCCCTACAGTGTGGAAACAGGCCCTTCGATGCAACAAGTCCACACCGAACCTCAGAGCATCCCGCCCAGACCCATCCTCCAATAACCCACCTAATCTACACATCCCTGAACACTACGGGCAATTTAGCATGGCCAATCCTCTACTCCAAAACTCTAAGCTCTGGAATTCCCTCCTTAAGTACTCCATATCTCTACCTCTCCTTCCAATTTTAAGATACTCCTAAAACACTGTTTCTTTTGACAAACTTTTGAAAATCACTCCTAATATGTGGTTCATTGTTAGTTTTTTGATATTTTGGTAATGCTGCTGCCATGCTTCTTGGCATGTTTTACTAACTTAAAGGTGTCATCTACACTTCTCAGACTTCTCAGTGCTTCCCAAACTTTTTCCTGTTGTGACTTCTTTTCAAGGCTTGCAAACAAGCCACTGTTTGGTGAGTGTTGGGAAAGGGGAGAAGACCTATAGCAGCAGAGGAAGGACGAGATCAGCCATTTCTACCTTGAAGTTTATGACCCCAAATAGTGACCCCCTACCATCTAGTTTGGAAAGCTGTACCATGAATGTTAGGAATCTTCCTTCTAAAGTAGCTTAACATACAAGTTAGAAGTAGGCCATTTAGGCTTGCTCCACCATTTATTAAATCATGGCTTATTTGATTGTAACCTCAATTTCATATTCCCATTCTTCCTTGAACCTTTCCCCCAACTTCTTACCAAGAATCCATCTACCTGCCTTAAAAATATCCTGCTTCCATCGCATTGTCAGGAAGAGAGCTCCAAAGACTCATGACTCCCTAAGAGAAAAGAATTATGCTTACCTCTGCCTTATATGGGCTATCCCTTACTTTTAAGCAGTGACTCCTATTTCTAGATTTTTGCACAATAGGAAAAATTCTTTCCACAGCCAGCCTGACAATAACTTCTCTGAATCTTTATTTGTTTCAGTCCAGTCTCCCCTTACTCTTCTAAACACCAGAACATGCAAGCTTAGTCTGTTTAACCTTTCCTCTTAAGAGAATCCACTGATTCTAGGTATTAGTCTGGTAAACCTGGTCTGAACTACTTCCAATGTCTTGACATGTTTCCTTGAATTAAGAGATTGATTCTGTATACAGTACTCCAGATATGGCCTCATCAAAGCCCTGCACAACTGAAGCATAACCTCTCTATTTTGTACCAATTAATTCCCTGGATCAGAATCCTGCAATTCCAATCCTAACAGCACTGTGAGTTTTCCTACACCCCAAGGACCAGAGCAGTTCAAGGGCTCACCACTCTACAGTTTCCTGGATTATCCCTATTTCCCTTCTTGAACAGAGGAACTACATTAGCTACTCACCATTCCTCCAGTACGTCCCCAGTGGGTAGGATACAATGGATACAATGATCTTGGTCAAAGCCCCAGCAATCCCTCTTTTGCCTCTCTCAACAACCTGGAATAGATACTGTCAGGCCCTGGGAATGTATCCACCTTAATGCTCTTCAAGAGATCCAAAACCACTTCTTTCTTGATCTCAAAATCCCCTAGCATATTAGCATGCTCCACACAAATCTCACTATCCTCCACATTCTTCTCCTGGGTGAATACTGATGCAAAATACTCATTTAGGATCTCGCCCACATCCTCTGCCTCCAAGCACAACTTTCCTCCTTTATCCTTTTAATGTATTTTTAAAAAACACCCCAAGGCCTCACATACTGTTTACTTTATTGTCTTGGAACAGACCACTATACACATCTATCTCAATCTCTTTTGATGAAAAATAACAGACCAAATTACACCTCTTAAAGCCATCGTATCACCACACCTTAATATCATAACCCCAGATCACCTTTGGCCATATCAAACTTTTAATTCCAACCTGTGTTTTTCAAAAGGGGATTCAACAGCAAAAAAAATTACTACAGATGTAAATTCAGTGGCCGCCTGGAGGTGGTGAGAACCTGGAATGTCACTCCTGATGAGCTGTCAAGGAAACCTCAAAAGGATAGACTTAAAAAGGACAAAAGAAAGGACACTTTCTGTGTTGTTGGTCAGTCACCATTGAAAGGATCAAGGACAAAAGAATTTGAACTAACCTGCCAAGCAAAGCATTGCAACATCTATTGCTTCATTATCAGTGTCCACTCTCTATTCGTCATGAATGACCCATAGAAATTGATACATATTTCATTTATCTTAACTCACTTCTTATTTGTAGTCTGCGTGTGTGTTGCTTTATTATTTCTTCTCACATTTGTTACAATTAAATTTAGTTTTTGATAATTCAAGAAAGCCGGTTAAACTGGTCTAGACCCGAAATGTCAGCTTTCCTGCTCTTCTGATCCTGCTTGGCCTGCTGTGTTCATCCAGCTCTGCACCTTGTTATCTCAGATTCTCCAGCATCTGCAGTTCCTACTATCTCTATAAGCAAGGGATCCTTTTTTTAAATGCATCTTTTTGGAACCAACCATTGGGTGGGGGATGGGGGCAGTTGGGGTTGGCGTGCAGTAAATAAGTACAAGGAACTAGTTCATTTCTTCTCATCCAGTGTGAACCTTGCCAGGGTTCTGGTTATTACTTTTTTCCCCCATGATTAATTCCCCAACTCACTTTCTATAGGAACAATGCTTACTTTACTAACTCTCTCTTTTTAAATATTTTTAGAAACTTTTACCATCTTACCAGATATTAAAGTCAGTACTGTATCTTGAAAACTACCACTCCCTGACTTTCAGTGGCACCAGCTTGTAATGAGTCTGAACCATGGTATTTGTCAGAGTGTTAAGACGGTGAAATTGTGTATATAAGGTAAGCCCAGTAAATTCTTGAGAGATCAAGAAAGGAGGATGTACAAGACTGAGTGCTGTTGTTTTGTGAATGCAACTACAATTAATTATTGAATATCTCTGATCCACACACCGTCGACCAGGCATTTCTCACCAATTGGTGATCTATTATCTCTGAGCATGGACATTCATAACCAATATAAAGCACCTGTCTATCTACAAGATATAGCTATATTGCTATTCCAATTGCTGATATTCTGTGAAGTTGTACATGGAAACTTCGACTGAGTATAAAGCAGGATTAGAGAATTGGGAAAGACTAGGAAAGGGACATGCTGATGGAGCATATTCATTTGTTAGAGTCATGCATTATGTTGTTATTTTTATGGTTCCAGTCATAATTCTGATGTGAATTTATAATAGTAACTCCCTATGTAAACTTGTCACACTATAATTATAGTCCTTTCCCAGTGGTGGCACTGCAGGAAACTATAATTACTGAGTGACTAGCTTATGTAAGCAGCTTTTATTATAAGTAAGAACAGACACATCTGTAATGAAACTAGATGACAGGAGTTCTGTGCAGATGAAAGATTTCTGTAACTTATCAGTGCATATCTGTGCATATCTAAAATAAACTCGAAGCAAGTAGGAAGATTGCCTTGCTGTTTTGCAGGACTTCCAGTTTGTTTGATATTGAATTGCCTCAGCGAATGGCAGCACCCATTGATATTTGGATTGTGCCATTCCATCACTTTCAAGGTTGGAGGAGAAGAAAGACTGAAGCCTCCTAAAAATAGATTTTTAAAATAGTTTTCACCATTCTAAATATAGAGTGTATGCTGGTGAGTTGGTAACAACTGATGAAGGTGTTCTTGGATCATTGTAATTGTTTCATGTACACACTGTAAACCAGATTTGCTAAATACCCAAGACATTTGAAACAATTGAACCAGTGACAGAGCAGAATCAAGCTCAAATGCAGTGGAACAGCTTGTCCTCATTTCTCATGTACCTCTGCTACAAACTGTTCATTTGTCTTCTTTCGAAAGGATCTTTGAGATAAAATTGAAGGATTGACCTGTCAACAAACATATCCATTCAGGGTCCTTACTGGAGCCCAGAACATGGAAAAAATCCTTTAGAAGTAATTAGTCCTTTGATTTCAGGGGGGAATGATAAGAATTTTGCACATTATTCAGTTGATAATAACGTATTACTTTCTCTTCACAGAGGATTTACTGGAACGATATGTTCACAGGTCGACTGCACTGTGAAATTCCACCAGCATTGGTAAGTAGGTCATCATTGAAATTTTAGAGTGAAAGGTAGGAGGTTTAGAGGGGATTTAAGGAAAAGCTTTTTCACCCAGAGGGTAGTGGTAATCTGGAATGCCCTGCCTGGGAGGGTGGTTGAGGGAGGGAAAACATACAAATTTAAGAAGTACTTGATTGAGAACTTGGGGTGACAGTATGTCCAAGGCTATGGGCCTAATAGGGGAAAGTACTGATGTAGGTGAAAGTTTATTTTTGGCAGTGCAGAATAGGTGGGCCAATTGGCCTTTTCTGTACTGTAAGGTTCTATCATCACCTCCTCTTCTCACTCATCAGTATTTATTTTTGTCGAGAGAAATGAGGGCAGTGGGAAAGAATCTTCTTTCACAAAGACCAATCACAGAGAGCGAAGGAAAAGGAAATCAGAGAAGCCCATCTGTCCATGGTATGTGCCTGTCATGTCGCTGGATATGCCTTGAGAATGGCCTATTGCTGCATCTGTTCATGGTGGTGACTGGCTTTAATCATTTCTAAATGGTACAGTGCAAGATAAATGAATCACAGATTCAAATAGTAGGAATTTAGGAATGTAGCAATGAGAAAAGGCCATTCAAGTCTCCAGGGCTCCATCTGACCAATTCTCATTCACGGAGAAGGTATTCTTTATATTAAGCACATAAATTAACTTGTTCTTGTTAACTTGTATAAAAGTTTTCTCCATCGCTAACATTCCATTTCTTTTATGAAATGAACAAATCCAATCATGTCCTTCTTCCCATTACTGTGTCTTCCAATAAAACGAGATTAAGATTCTTCAGTCCCTTCCTATTTCAAAGCTATAAGGGCTCGAATCTGTCTTTTGCCTTTCTCTATGTTCTTCGGTTTTTGATGTGGATATGGTGATCACAAATGAGATAGTGTTGTGCATGTAGTGTCATTAGCATTCATGATCATGGACTTTTACTTGTATGCAGACCAAAATGTTATTTGTCTTTCTTACACTGTTAGCATTTGATTACATGATGACAGGTAATTCCTTCTGCGTTGATTACTGAATAAAAATATAATTTATTGTTTTAATTATATTTGCTGTTTTTACTACACTGATCAAATAACCTTCATTTGCAAGGTGCTCAGTCTCTTTGGATTACTTTGCATTTTACATAGAAATTGGCAACATCTACAAAGTTAGACAATCGAATTTAAATGAGTTCATCAAGATCTTCCATTCACTGTTATGAATAGCAGATGCTTCATACCTTTCAAACTCTGCTAGCCATTACTGTTGTTTAGAACTTCACTATAAATCTTTTGTTTCCTAGTTTTCAGTTTCCTTATTTCTGTGATACCACAAAGGTTATTGTTTACCTCACAAGTGTCTGAGCTGTAACTTGATAAGTGCCTTCTGAAAGTCAAGGTGCAAAACATCCAGCAATTCTGTTGTTTCTTAAAAAGGAAGTCGAGTTTGTTTGGTATCTTCACACATACTTTATTTTCACTTTGGGGCATAGTAGGGAAATGTTGGAAATGGTGCAGGCTGGTTCTTAACCTATTGAACTGTGGTATGAACACTCTTCGTTATTGAAAAGAGCTGGAGTAAGACTTGACCCCAGACCTTCTCGTTCAGAGGTAGGTATTGATTGTTAAGTATAAATGTCTTAACCTTTTGACTGTCCACATTGCAACACACCCAGTTGTACCCTGACAGGCTATACAGTTGGATACATTAAAACTTTATTGGTTTTGGTGACTGAGGCAGACTAACACTCCTCTGTCATCTAGTTAAATAATCTTTCGTCTAATGAGAATAAATCAGTGGTCAGGAGAATAAAGTTGTGGTTTTCATTTTAAATAATTGACTATTTTATACAATAAAATAGCTCTGAAGCAGCAAGATCAGAGATAATATGGATCTACTTCAATTACTCTGCCTTGATGGATAATGGCATATAGAGACTTCATTAAACTTGTCACAGATGATTAAACAAAAGATTTATCCAGCATTGCTCTATGTGTCCTGTATTAGGCACAGGTCAGTATTGTTCCTTGATTGATCTCTAAGCTGCATGTCAGATCAGTGAAGGAAGAAAATCATTCTGCAGGGTAATGTTCCAGTGCATGGATCGGCCAAAGCTAGGTCTTAAAGCCAGGTCTCTGGCAAGCAGTCCCAGTATTTAAATTCTAGAGCTAATTTTACATTAAACAGAGATATTTACAGTCTAAGGACATAACCATTGCAGGTGAGCTCTTCGTCATGGATTTTGATTCGCGGTGTCAGCTGGAATGTGAACCCACTTTATTCTTTCACATCGCAATTGACCTTCTATGTGCTTCTATTATCCCATCGCTCGTGTTTATTGCTCTATGTTATTTACGCCTTAAATGTACTCCCCCATGTCACCATCTTCCTAAAACCAGAACATGCATGAGGAAGATGATGAAACTCTCAGTTGGAGCTTTCGTTAGACATGGGTCTTTCAGTCCTGCACAGTTCTGGTTCAGACAAAAAAGATACTGACTAAAGCACCACTGACACTCAAAATTCAGTGAGATAAAGGAGCCATTTTGATTCTTGAATTATTCTGTAAATGAAATATTCTCAAATCCTCCAACACAAGAAGAGGCCATTTAGCCCACCTTACCCTGTTCAAACTCTTTAGTCCCATTAGTAGTTATTAAAACGTCCCATTCCCCATAGCAGTGCAGTTCTTTCCCTTTGCAAAGATGTGTCTCCTGACTTTGAAAGTTACAGTACACCGTGTGTCATAACTTTGTGATGATTTCAACATGGAATAACTGTTGTAAGGTGAATCTGAGTTTATTTTCTATTATTACAAGGAACTGATGCATCAGCTAAACCTGATGCTTCCTATCTAAATGGTAATCTTCAGTTGTCTTGTAATTTAGATTATAAGTCATTTGCCGATCAAAAAACTATCCTCAGATTAAATATTGTAAGAGAGCATAACATATGTAATTAATAATATAAAGAAAGATGTTAATGTATAAAGAGACAAGACAGTTGCTTGACAAGATGTCTTAAATGTGAATGAATGCTACGAGCATTTAATAAAAGCATGCACTGAAAGATTGTTTGATTTGTTTCTCATTAATGAAACATGCAGTAAGTTAGACTGACTACACCACAATTATACCATACAACAATTTAAGCCGAGAGAGGATAGAAATTTGCTATTGGATGCACTAATTTAAAAGGATAATGATAGTCAGAGAGGCTGAGTTCTTGGAACGGGAACCTCATTAACTGCAGGGGTAATTTTATATCCTATTGGCAATGACTCACCATCTCTGATTTCTCTGATCCATATTGGTTCCCAGTGTTGGTTGTGGGTCTGGCACAGCCCATTTTAAAAATGATTATCTTTCTTTTCAAATACCTTATGGCCGTCTCTCACTATCGCTGAAACCTCTTCCAGCCTTTGACATGGTTTGGGGAGATAGGAGATGAGTTACTTACCACCGAATTCCCAGTTCCTGACTTGCTCTTGTTGCCACATTGTTTATGTGGCTGGTCTCATTCAATTTCAGGTCAATGACAAACATCAGCATATTGAAAATGGAGCATTCAGTTATGCTAATGCCATTGAACCTCAAGGTTAGATGGTTAGATTCTGTCTTGTTGGAGATGGCCACTATCTGGCACTTGTATGCTGCAAATGTTAGTTGCAGCTTATGAGCTCAAACCTAAATTTTGTGCAGCTCTTGCTGCATTTAGGCATGGATTGCTTCAGTGTCATGACTGGTGCTGGATGTTGTGTAATCATCAGCAAATAACACCCCCCCTTCTGACCTTATGATGGACGGAAGGTCATTGATGAAGCAGCTGAAGATGGTTGGCCCTAGGACACTACCCTGAAGAACTCCTGCAGAGATGCCCTACAGCCGAGATAACTGACCTCCAACAACCACATCATCTTCCTATGTGCCAGAAGATATGAGCCAATGGGATCCAAGGCAAGTCAGCAAACTGGATCCAAAATTGGGCTTACAAACAGGAAGCAAAGATTGAGGGTGGAGGGTTGTTTTTGTAATTGGAAGTCTGACCAGCAGTGTACCACTGGGTTCGGTACTGTGACCTTTACTGTTTGTTATTTACATTAACAACTCAAATGTGAATATAGAAGATATTAAAAGTAAGTTTGCAGATGACATGAAAATTTGTGATGTTGTTGATAGTGAGGAGGATGATCTCAGGCTACAGTCTAATATTGATCGTTTGGTAAATTGAGCAGAGCAATGGTAGATAGAATTTAATCACAATGAGTGTGGGGTGATGCATTGTGGGAGGTCAACTAAGGGAAGGGTATACACAATTATTGGTAGGCCCCTAGGGAGTACCTAGGTGTACAAATCCTGGAAGGTATCAGCACAGGTGGATAAGATCTGAGAAAGAATTTTCTCACGAAGGGGGTAGTAAATAAATGGAACATGTTGCATGAAAGGGTGCTGGAGGCGTGTACTCTCACAACATTTAGGAAGCATCTGGATAAGCACTTAAAATGCCAGGCATGGTAGGCTATGGACCACGTGCAGGTAAGTGGGATTAGTGTCATTTGGTATTTGCTGGTCCTAATCTCCAACCGATTTAAGTTTCACCACACGATTTTGATGCTACACTCAATCTAATGTAATGACTGTAATGAGGTCAAGAGCTGTATGACCCTGGCAGAACCCAAAGTTTCAGAGAGCAGGTTATTGCTGTTCTAATAAGGCATATAATTTACTCTGGTTTAGTCACTACTTCCAGGCATTTACAGAATCACCTAAAAGCAAATTAAATGGCTGCACAAACTTTTCAAATTGAAACAAATTCCACTGTTTTCAGCGTTTGAATTTTAGGTGGTGAATCAGTCTAAATCTAAAATTCCTTTCTTTTGCATTTGTTGTACTAATTTCATGTTCTGATATAAATCTGATGCATAATGAATACTGAAAACCAAAATGCTGGGTTGCTGTAAATTTGAATCACAAACTGGAGGTGGTTTGATACCAATCTAG